GTTCCCCTTCGCTACTCTTTCCAAGTCTCTTTCTTTCTCTTTGTTAATTACTTATATATTACTCTCTGTTTTATTCATGTACTCACTATTTGTTTATGTTATTTTGCAGACTAAATCTAAATTGTATTTGATTTTGGACTTCATTAATGGAGGACATCTCTTCTTTCAATTATGTAGACAAGGCATATTTAGGTATGTTTGTTATTGTTCTTCGGATTCATGAAGCTACATAGCCGTCTTAAGTTTTCGGAGTCTCTGAGGAGATTAATTGTAGTTTAAGTATGACAAATCAAATAGGGATCATATTTATCCTGATTCTGTGACAGATATTTTATGAGCATTTTTTAGCCACAGTTTAAACATGTCAAACTTTGAGTCATTTGCGGTAGCCTGCCTTGCATCTCCTAAAAAAACGGCTCTCTACTCCAACATAGGTATTTAAGTTTCTAATTTTGATGTCTGGATTTGGTTCTGTTGGTGTTTGTGTTTGTGTGTTGAGCAGTGAGGATGAGGCAAGGATTTATACTGCTGAGATTGTATCAGCTGTTTCACATCTTCATAGCAAAGGCATCGTGCATCGGGACCTTAAACCTGAAAACATACTCATGGATTCTCATGGCCATGTAAACAATTCTTTGATTTATGTTGTCCTATTTTGATGGTGAAAATTTTTTATTTGCCAATGTGTTGTTGTTATGTTCATAGATTTAGTGTTGACAATCAGCTCAGTAATCTTCATTGTGAGTGATGTTATGTTTGTTTGTTATATTTGTAGGTGATGTTAACTGATTTTGGAATGTCAAAAGAGATTGAGGAATCTGAGAGATCTAACTCTATGTGTGGGACTACAGAATATATGGCTCCGGAAATCCTTCTGGGTAAAGGCCATAACAAGGATGCGGATTGGTGGAGTGTTGGTGTACTCTTGTATGAAATGATAACCGGGAAGGTAATGAATGAATGCAAATCGTGAAGATTGTCTTTTGAATTGTTTAGCACGACTTGTGTGTGATTGCATGCGTGCGCATATGTATGTGAATGAGTTGTCCTTATTGAACACCTTGAATTATATGCAGGAATGCAATGATAAAATGAAATGAAGTTAGAACCTATTATGTGTCTGATAATCAAGTCTTGAACAGAGTAACTAGGTGTTTGATAATCAAGTCTTGAACAGGGAAAATTAGGTGTCTTGTCCGAGACATAGTTGATTTTGCAATAGGGAAAAGGTAGTTAATTTTATGGTAATGGAAAGTTTGGATATGGACCTTATTGAGAATCAATCTTTTAATTAATTTATTCTTTTGGAAATTATTGTCTCGACGAATCTGCTTATTTCGCTATTGGGAAGCTTTGTGTTTGTGTAAGTGCACTGGGTGGATCTCTGATATACAAAGGGGCCTTTGCTATGTGCTACAAGGTGTACAAGCTTATTCTTTTCCCTGATTTTTAAGTATCATTTGGCAGGCACCATTTACACATAACAACCGAAAGAAGCTACAGGAGAAAATTATCAAAGAGAAAATCAAACTTCCACCATACCTTACTGGTGAAGCTCATTCCTTGCTCAAAGGAGTAAGTAGACCATAGTATTCCTGGTTTTGTTTCATTACACTATCCTGTTAAATTATGCTTTACAAACTTAATGTGTTTGTTTCCTACGTATTGTGTTGATGTTTCTGAACTCACAGCTTAACGTTTTTTAGTTGGTATTGCTCTTCTTTACTCCAAAAAGGGATTTTATGTACGTTCTATTCGGATAATTTAACTCATTTTGAGACTGCAAATTAATTTCTGTTTACTTGCTACAGTTGCTGCAAAAGGATCCATCTACAAGGTTTTGAAACTGCAAATTAATTTCTGTTTACTTGCTACAGTTGCTGCAAAAGGATCCATCTACAAGGTTAGGCAGCGGGCCAAATGGAGATGAACAGATCAAAAATCACAAGTGGTTCAGGACAATCAATTGGAACAAATTGGAGGCAAGAGAATTGCAACCAAAGTTTAAACCATCTGATGTGTCTGGAAAAGATTGCACGGCTAACTTTGATCGATGCTGGACGACAATGCCGCTTGAGGACTCTCCGGCATCAACTCCTACAGCAGGTGACCATTTTCAGGGCTATACTTATGTTGCACCAAATCCTTGGCTTTCTTCTAGATAAAACTGAAAGCATTCAAATCCAAATGAAAATGTTGATATGGGTTGATAAAAAAATAACCCGAAGAAGGCAAGCCGTACTAATTTTAAATTCTTTTAAGAAACACAACACAAATCTTTTCTCACTAAGATGTTACCCTTTCTATCTTAAAAGTTGTTTATTTTCTATATGAGCATTGTAATGGTTTATCTCACGGATGAATATATAGATAAATAGAGTTTTTAGTGACTCTGATGTAGCTTTCATATTTGTAAAGGTTGGCTTAGTTCTTGTTTTGAACTAATCCTACGTGAAAACCACCTTTGTTCATATCAGCATAAACATATTTGACTAGCGATTGCTCAGTAGGGTTGTATAGTACTATATTGACTTCGTGTTAGTCAAAAGCATTCAAATTGCTGACAGTGTCCTGTTTATTGACAGCTAAAGCTTACTTCTTGTGTATTTAGCTATGAGCTATTGAAGATATTATTATTCCTTCTTGTGGTTAAAATCTGTAATGGTACTAATGTCGGTTTTGTTTACCTGCCTCTTTATCTCGCACTTTTTCTTTCCCTCCATTAAGTAGAAATTGAACTATATGCTGAACATACGAGCAACGAAGTTTAGAAGAATTTTAACAAATGGATCTTCTTGCAATTAGAAAACACTAGTTTATTTCTTGACAAGGACTTTTATTGTTATACATTATACTTAAAATACCAAACTCTTGTAACACCTAGCATTGGTTAGTGATGAAGCATTGGGTAAATTCTTTGATATATCTTCCCCAACTTCTAGCCATATATGATTTACATCAGATATATTAGATTGCATTACCCAGTTCCCAATATTGATTAAGTTGAAAGAGTCAATCAGTAATTCTTTTACAGATTCTTCCAATTTGAAGGATGCATGTTTTTTGTCCCAATCAAACTGCATCTGGGAATTTCATCTATGTCTGATAGCATGGATTTGTGCTTGAATGTTGCTGATAAACAAAACCCTAGATATCTTCAGGGACTAATCAAGCTTCCTGAGGTTGTCATGTAATCAAGGACAATAGAAAAAGTATTTAAAAAATCTCAAATATGTACTTGGTAGTGGAGAATTTCTTTTCACCTAATAAATGAGCATGCCAATTCATAAAGAAACTTCGACATGCAATGAAGTTGGGAAATAGTTTGCTATCAAAATTTTATGCTCTCAAGGGACATTTCGCAATAGACATCACATTTAAAAACAAACATTAATTTCCATATAAAGAATTCCCACATACCCTAATTTGATCCTTGTGAAAGCAAATTTACCTCGAGGTGAGGAAAGTGGCCTTCAAAAAGCACAAACAACCCAATTCCCACGGTATAGTGATTGGCATCAGGAGTGTGGTGTGCATGAATAACCATTTAATATGTACATAAATCCCTTATTTTGAATCGGTTTAAAACTGATTTTAAATGAATTTTAATTTTAATCTAAATTATTTAGTTAAATTTAAATTTAATTTTCTTTAAATTATATTAATTTTTAAATTTAAATACTTAAAGTTTTAAAAAAGAAAAAGAAAACATTTTAAAAAATAATTTTAAAAAAAAACTCTAAAAATAAAAAATATTTAAAAAATTAAAAATAAAACTGAAAATAAAAAATTTCAACAATATTATATGGACTTAAAATGGTAACTAATATGTTATAATATATATATTTGTATATTTCAAAACCTCTATCTATTGGTGAAAAAATCTATAATATTTATGATATTTTTTTTTTAAGTTTTAATGATCTTCGAGATTTATAAATAAAAACTAAAATCAAATTCAACAAATCAAATTTTAGTATATTTTGCGTCAAATCAAACTCGATTCACTAAAATTAAATAATTAATTACTAAAAATTTATATAATTAACTGCTAAAAATCCATATAATTTGTAAAGTATTAGTACACCATTTTAAGTTGGTAGAGAATTCATAAACAATTTTCAATTTTCTTTTTATTTTGAAGTACAAAATTTTGAATTTTTGTACAATAACTTTTTTTATATAATTCAAAAAAAAAATTAATTTTAAAATAGTTTAAAATATAAAATTGATATATAACGTGAATATATTAAACATGAAAAGAGATAAAAACGTATCAATTTAACAAATAATAAAAATTTTACCCAATAATTAAACAACATTATTATTATAAAAACCGATTTATATTTGAATAACAAAATAGATAACCAAATTTATATTTTAACATTTAATTTAAATTTTTAAAAGTAAAATAATTTAAATACAAATTTGATTAACAATAACCCATTTTTTTACGCACCTCTAATTAGGGTCATATCAACACACTGCACATAGGTTAAATCTATTTCTCAAGTTGAGGTCGGTGTCACCACCAATAAATACCATAATTTCACATCAATCACAAACCAGTAAAAATGGAACCCAGACGCATCAATTCAATCATTTTAAGATCCAAAAAGACTACATAGATGAACAGAACAGTGACATTTCTCAAATCGGGATTCATTTCAAACTAAACTCAGCGTCAAATTTATGATTGTACTCTACTTTACCCCACTTTTTCCGTTGTCATTAAATTACAATTTTATACCATGTAACCTTCGCCCCTAAAAATGAAAGCCAGGACAACATCACTCCAAACCCACATCTCAAGAATAAAAGATACAACACCCTCACTTAATTTTTCCTGGCCAGAACAACGCGCAGGGGCCAATTCTCCAGAAATAACGGAGAATGGTAAATAAAAAAACAAGTAACAAATAATGCACAACCAACTAGCCTAACCGATAGACAGGACCTAAACAAAATGGCCCTCCCAATCATAGGCGTTTACTGATCCTCTATGATACACACACCAAATTCAACTCAAGCGGTCTCAAAGCTTCTTGAACTATTTCCTGAACTGCTCTATTGCGTCGGCAAACATCAGAGAGCTCTTCAATAGGAATAGTTAGGCCATTGGTATCACCTCCAGACGCCACATCTGAAAGTGCTTTTAAGAATCTTGATCGTTCCAAGTCTGTGGCAGCTGTTGGTGGAATTAACATAATACTTTTTTTGGCCCATTCCAATGCTTGCATCCCATATGAGCGAGTTAACGCCAGTAGTGTATAAGACACCTGAGAGATGTGCAGATGCATAGAAATTGAGATGGTTAAACTTCATCCTATTTTATACTACTATATTTTTAAATGAGACAGTCAACATTGATTTGAGAAACTACCACGTCTACTCGAGATTTTGGAAGTGCTCCAGTTAATGAAGCAACCAAAATCCTGGTAATGCTTGCACCTCTAGGAATAATTATACTATCTCTGATTGGTATAAATTGCTCTCCCATTGTGGAGTTCGCCAAATCAAAAATATCAGAACAGAAATGCAATATGGAATTGGAAGCCTCCCTGCACGAGAGAAGGTGGTAACAATAAAAGGGTAAACAAGCATGCCACAAAGTACTAAAAAAATTTGAGAGAAATTCATTCAACTCTCATAGCATAGTTTTGTCTATTGTTAAAAGTACTCACAATTACAGAACATGCAGCAACCATACCAAAACATGAAACAAATAGGTTTTAAGGTAGAAAAAAGAATTTCAATCTACATTAGTAATATAAATTAATTAATAACAGCTATTTCAGGAGGAAAATAATTCACTTGTAAATTCCAATCAGCACCTAGCACCTATTCCTGAAGTAATTCTACATTTTCTAAAGTACGAGAAATTTCATATATGCCATCTTTCCATGCAGATGATGCCTTAACTTAAAGACAGTGTGTGCAAAATATAGGCAAAGTGCAGACACTTAAGCAGGCAAGAAAATCAGACATGGAGCTGCATGAAAATTCATTATGGGAGTCATAATATCTCAAGAATAAACAACAAAAAAAAAAGTGAGAATAGACGCAATACCATTATAGAACAAAGGAGGGTGCTTTCAAGGTTGTGTGAGTGTCTGTGTATGGGTGGGTGTGGGGGTTGGGGGCGAGAGAGACCATACCTATGCTGTACTGTGATCCCAATCATAGAGCAATCAACTAACGAAGGAAAAACTGGTGAAGGGATAAACAACTGAGGACAGTAGCGAATACATCTTGAAGCCAACAAAAAACAATCATCTGCTATATCAGGCCGGGCTGTGAATTCCTGGAGTTAAAAGTATGATAACACATTCAAATACTATCCATAGATCCAGAAGTAAGTGCTAAAGCAAAGTTACTTCAATTACACCTGAATATTTGTGAGAAGGCGTGTTGTGTGCTGGAAAAGCGACTCAATTAAATTCTTCAAGTAGTCAGCACAAGATGGATCAGATCCAAATATCTGAAATGTAAGAATATTGGACATTCATATAGTCAATAACGGGATAATAAGCGCATAATCTATCAAAATTTTCATATATACGATAAAAAAAAGTTATTAGGAAAAGCAAATAGATGAGTAAATTAATAGGGGATATGAGATCCTAAAGAACCATGAAAGTAATGAAAGAGAAAGACTGGTCGACTAAGTTAAAGCTTGTATCGACTGATATGTAATTATAATGTATCAATTTATAATGTTTGCAGAAAGGGCTGTCTGAAATCAGCACAGGGTGAGGAGGGGAGATGAAGTTGTTCAGAGAAGAAATGACCGTAGGGCCCTATTTTGTTGTCATACACAATTTTAAAAGCTTTGAAATTAAGATCTCAAATTCTCCCAAGGTAAAAAAGAAGGGGGGAAATCCTTCAAAGTCAAAAGGTGTATTTAACCACACTTTTTATGCATACAAAACAATTACTTACATGATCAAAAGGAATAGTAAGATATGAATACCTTTATAACTTCACTAGAGAGATAAAGGAAGCATGGCTGGTGGTGCTGCCTATACAAACTCTGAATCTCTTCCAGCATGGCACCGATTGTAAGCCCCATGAACCTTCCAGAAGTTCTCACCTAGAAACATGTGATAGAGTATTGCTACACAGCATAGAATTGAATAATACAAACTAATATTTTTTAGCATAGAAAACCCGTGCAACTAATTTGATCCTGTACAACACCCAAGGGAAAAAAGACCATCATAAACATAGTATTCAACCTCATGAAAATTTATTCGTGAACATGTGTAACATTAAAGATATGATATAAAAGGGTTGAAACCACAACAACAGTTGGATGATTTCCCAAATCAATTGCATGACTAAATATATATTATATTTTGAGTCTTAACTCAGTCCCACAAAATTGGCTTGGCTTGTAAGGTGAAGATTGTCTAGGCTTTAGAATCACTATTTATGCCTTATCTCTAGCCAATATGGGAAGTGAACGTTTGTTAATACCATTGTCACACGGTTCGCAATGCGTTTCGGTATGAGGTACAAATTCGGGTATGCGGTTCACAACTCTCAAAGAATTGGGTACATGAGGGGTGATTTGGGATTGTGGTCCGTTCAAATATAATAATCGGTACATTATTATTAAAAAAATTGTTTACTTACAATGAAAATATGTTGGGAGAAAGACTTCATAGTCCACATCGACTACTTTACTAACATTGCTTTCAAAAATCAGTTATAAATAGCTATAGGGTATACTCAGTACTCTTATATCAGCTCACCTAAAGCTTTAGTTTTAATTGGGAAGGCCATTAATATTCACTTTTATCAAAGTGATACAAACCTTATCATGATTAAAATAGGGAGTTTTTTTTTATTTCTAGTTTAGACAACTATTGTCTCATTTAAATTTGAAATTTATATTTGGTTTGCGGGTACCTTCATTTACCCGAATTCCAGACGAATTCGTGCGAACCAATTCACAAAAGTTCCGCAAACCGGTATGCACAAACCAATTTGAGGTTCGTACGGGTACCTGTTAATTATGTGAATATGGTTAATACCCATCCTCACGCCCAGAGCTATTGGGGCTGGTGCATGGAGATTACATATGGCTTGTTAAAAGATCTAAGTCAGGCATTGATATTATAGTATGTTTTGGGTATAACTCAATCCAACAAAACAAGCTAGTACGGTCGGGATTTTCTAGGCTTTAAAGCTCTATTTAGGCCTTATCTCTAGTCAATATAGGAGTTGAAATTTTTCCAACGCATCAAACACCGTGTTATTACTATTTACTTTCTTCAAAATGCAAAAAAGCAACAGAAATAATGGTCCAGCTCACTCACTGCATATTTACATGCTCGGCAAAGAGATTCCATTGTTCTCATGTCCCAAGCACGGCTAGCATCAACAATGATAGAAAATTACAATCAGATAAACAAGCTTCAAAAAATAATAGAGCATAACAAAGCAAAGAAAACCATAGAAATGTTAACATGAGAAGTAATGTGAGACTGCTTACACATCAAAAATAGCTTTGAAAATTGGCCACAGTCGTTGGATAGCATCTGCCACAACTTGTGGATGTTTTACATATCTATAAACAGATACAGTTGCATGTTCAGTATTATGGTAAAAAATAATTTTATTTTAAAAAGAACAAGGGTTGTGGCAGTGGCGTGCAGAAAGAAGTATTTGAACCCACCTAAAAATGTAAGCAAAACGATCGATATGAACTGTTAACTGACGAGAAGGTCTTTTACTCAAGTGTTCAGGACCTTGATTTATAGCTTCCTGGATGAACAAAATGTATGAAAAAACAATAATCAAAAGAATAAGTTTAATGAATCTCAACACAAAGACACTAACCTGTAAAGGAGATATAACTGGTATGCATAATGCCTCCAGAGCTCTCTTGGCATCATCCAAAGGAAGTTCAGTAACAACCATACTACATTGAAATTTAAGATGACCAAATCAACTTCATTTAAAATAGAACCAGTAGCATACAATGATTCCCCAAATATTTCATGGAACCAAATTACCTTAAGGCTTCAACCAGATGCAATGAGTCTTCAGCAGGAACTTTGAAACTATCTTCACCACTAACAGTCCGATTGTAGATGTGGAACAAACCATCTAAGCATCCGCAAAGCTTTTTCCGGCAGTCTGAAATCAGAAATAATAACATGTCAAATACATGAAACATCGTCAACTTTCAGCTTTCCCCCCTCATGCAAACATGAACAGTGCACAAACACAACTACCTATTGCTGAAATTCAATTTTTAGTTAGAGATAAGATGACGGCATTGACCACTTGGTCATAGAGGCTTTATTATCAAGTCAAGCACCAACCATCCCAAAATATGTAAGGTATCGGGCAATTAATTACTTTATAGCACCAAACTTTATATAAAATATTCTGCCGAATCAGGCCAGTAAAAAATGTAACAGATAATTTAAAGCAACATATTCCCCATTCTCTTCATCCAACGTTTTCTTTCTTAATTCTTCTTCTGAAAAAATGAAAGAATCATTACCGATGTTATTTAGTAACTCATTTGATAGAAAACTAAAATTAGCTTCAGCTACTTTTGTTACTTTTACTTTCTAGTTTATATTTAGATTCCTGCAATACTTTTTTGAGAACTTACTTAAACAAGTTGCATCCTCACATAAAAGCACGAGATTTTTAGCCGTTGTTTATGAAAATGACCAAACCAAATTCTTCAGGTAAAACTTTATTGCAAAGCCTCAATCAGAACCACAGTTCAGAAAATTGATTTGTAATCATTGAATGTAGTCAGTCACTCATCTTCACCTTGTATGCACTGAATACTATTGTAGCTCACCTAGGCAACTTGTCAACATTCTAAGGGGTAAACACTGAACATAAAGTTCACAAATACACTCAAATACTAGTTCACTATATATACCATCACAGATGTGTCTAAACGCCAAAGCAGCAACAGCTGCGCATTCTTCAGATGTACCCATTCCATTCATTAGGATGTCTAAAACTGAAGGAAGTATAGTCACTCCACATGATGCCGAATCAAGCCATTTTGAATAAGCTCCAATAGTTAGGCAGACTGAAAATATGGCAACAATACAGAGCAAGCATTACAATGAGTGGTACAAAACAAATTGGAACAGTAAAGCTACAAACCTAATTAGGTAAGAAATTACAAGGAGAGAATATCCAAGTCCGTAAGTCAAGTGGGATGGGGATTACATAATTTTTCATTGCATTACCTGTCTGAAGTAACTGGGGCTGATGAGGAAGCTTTGGAAGCAAGGCCATGATCTGTATGAGACAAACACCAAAAACGCAAAATATAAAACAATAGTGGTCTATGAGCCTGCACGAAAACACATTCCGATAGGGATGTCGGTATACACACATAATCCTCTCACAAGTGAAATATCAGGGAGACCCTAAGTCATGTAAAACGAATAAATGTACAAGCCACTGAAATAATGTAATACAACTTCATGTGCACTATAAATACTTCTCTCTCAGAATTTTAAATTTGTTGAAAATCAACGAACTTATTATTAATGTATGAGAACACTAAAAAGGGAAGGTTACAATATATTCCCTGGGGCATGGCCAAATATCAAGAACTACCGTCCCAATAATTCAATATAAAAATCGACCGAGTACTGCCGTATTAAAAAACTCATTCATTGATGCCATCAATATCATTACTGTGCCACGACTACAACATCCTACAGGGCGTGTTTTAATGAAAGAAATGTTTTTTCATATTTTTAGTAAAAGCATTTAGATTTAGAGAGAATTTAGAGGAGATACTTTAGAGATGCTCAATAAAATTTTACACATTAAAGATGTACCCTTACCTGCGGCATTACTTCTGCTTCAACGACTGACACGTAGTTTGATATAGCCCGAATACAAAACAAAGAAGCTTCTGCTGGACGCCATTCCTTTTGTTCATTATTACTATTGCCAGATACAGCCTAAAAGGAGGAAAGATGGTTCAGAAAAAAATTGTGGTAAAAATTGAAGATGAGCACTGCCTCCGTCCCCTCAATGCAAGAGTCTCGCATTAATAAGGAAATCATATTCAAATTAACCTCATCCAGATGTAAGACACACCTCAAGAAGTTTCTGGTACAGAATTTTAAGTGTGGCATCACCACCAAGAACTGATGCTGCATCTGTTAATACATCTGCAACAGCTGAAACAAGAAATGACCGTTGACCAATTAGAATAGAAATACCATCTGATTCTGATTTAAAGGAAATTGATAGAGATTTTGTAATGTGTCTGAAAAAATTAGCTACATGGATATGACAAAAGAAGGTCTAGGACATAGAAATTCAAGGATGGGAGTGCCAGAATATCCCGGCCCATTCTCACACAAATAAGATCATTCGTATCTCAAATATTTGAACCGTTAAACTTCAAAGCTCAATCATAAGTTTCTTAACAACAGAATGTGATAAAAAATATGTAGTTAGTGAGCCTCTGCTACTTATCTTCCATGCCAAAGAAAAACACTAAATTTACATTACTTTCAAGGTCAAACCTATTTCCAAACTAACTACCCCTGAATTAACATGTGAAATCATCTCAAAGCTAATTTCCTGTCTCAGACTTTAGTCATTCAACTAATTTCTTTTATCAGCATGCCGTGCACAAATTTTTCAGTGGATGAGAAAGCATGTGTCACAGACACATGACAATCACACTTCAAGATAGTTATACTTCTATCTACCAGTGCCACCTAATATTCCAAAACTCTTCTGTTTTTTGGGAAATTGGTCAATAACAGGATATAAGATGTAGTACCAATTTCCGGGCTATTGCATGTCTTATTTTATTAGTTTTAATAGTACATCTTATATTTGTACTTCTTTCTCTTTTTTAAGTACAGAAAGAAGTACAGATATAAGATGTGCTACCAAAACTAACAAAGTAAGATATGCAATAGCTGGGAAATTGGTCATCCAACAACACACAAGGATATCAAGTTGGCCCACCAAAAATTGTGGAAATCAATCTGGCCGTTCATAGTATACCATAACTATCAGCATAGAGACCAAATTGAAGTCCAGGATAGTTTGTGGAGTAAATTGATGCTTATTCAATTTTGATGGAGCAAATTATATCTAAAATCTGAGGGACCAACTTGGTGTGTCCTATGCTTTGGAGGATCAGTTTCAGGGTTTAGGGGGAGCAATATCACAATACCTATGCAAAGCTCACTGATTTCTCAGCATATCGAGCAGAAAATTCCGTCTACATTAACACTTTGCGGAGAGCCACAACAGAGCTAACACTAACACCAATTATATGTCGGGCATAAATTTCTAAACTTCGCATTGAACATCAAGATTGCTATATTATTACTCCATAACGATTAGAAAACTCGTTATCAAATTTCAATTCAACGCCAAAGTATGGTTGATGTTAAAACAGTAGTAATTTAGACAGCCCCAGGAACTGCTATGAAAAATGTCATATCTGAAGATAAAATATTTGGAGCAAAACCAAAAGTTGGGAACCAGAGCCTACAAGAACCACATAGGCCTAGAAAGTGAAATTTTAGAATTCTGGTCTCTAACTCAATCTCCAAAAACAAGCAGGTCCATAACTTATCTCTCAAGAGCATTGAATATATAATAATAACAATAATAATAATAATAATCATAATAATAATAATAATAATAATAATAATAATAATAATAATAATAAGGATCTTGTGAACATGAGCCGTGAGGAGACAGAGAAATTCAAAAGTAGAAGTTGTATATTAAGAAAACAATTTATTAACTTTTAAAAAATTGACTTCATAATTTTGAAGACAATATTTTTATTGAGCTTGTATTATAATAATGATATGGTAATATTTGTATCATAATAATTTGTAGGGTAATGCTAACTTGTGCCCCTAAGGCACAAGTTAAGAAACCCACTTATAGTAAATTTGTATTGGAAAAAACAATTTAAAAATTAATTTTATACTTTAATTAAAGTCATGTACACAATTTCCAAGACAATATTTCTTAATTTAGTTCTTAACTTGTGCCCCAAGGGCACAAGTTAGCATTACCCTAATTTGTATTATAATAATAAAATAATAAGTATAATACTAGTGCCCGTGAAGAATCAATCAGTGTACAACAGTGAGAGAAAAAGAAATGTATCACAACAAGAGCAAAGCAAACCCATTTACCATATTTAGTTTGCTTAAATTCCCTAAGGTCTTCATACAAAAGATCTTGATAATCTTCAGGATACTGAACCCGATAGCTAACCTGTAAAACATCCATGACAAGATCTAATAGCATAAATATAACAAGTAAAAACTACACAATTCAGTCATAACTGGGAAAGAAAGAAAAAAAGTAAAGAGCAGCGTGTGAAGGCTACAATAATCTTGAAAATATTATAAATATCTAAAAGAAGAATGGTGTTATTTAATTATATACAAAGAATGTAGATAATATTTAATTATATATAGGATGTAGATAATAACAAAATTGATTTTATTGAAGCACACATGATAGGCTTGAAACCATTAACTACTGAATGTGTTCAAAGGTTGCAGGGGAGAATTTTAATTCCAACTTCCAGCTCAAACTAGGAAGACTCACCAGTGATACAAGTGATTCATAAGCCGGACGAAAAACCTGTAGCCTATTATTTCTCTCAGCTTCAATGCATGCTTCATTGCCATTTGATATATAGGACTCCCTGTCAGATTATGTAATAATTATATTTATAATCTGGTAAAAGTGATATCCAGCAAGGACCATACTTTCAAGAGTAAAATAATTACCTTCTAGTTAAGGTCAACTGAAGACTATGCCAAAAGTTAAATGTCATAGAAGCAATATCATATTCTGGATGTGAAGCAACTTCCAACAATGCATGTACTATTAACATTGATTCATCAGAACCTGGAATATTAATTTATCACGATTTAGATTCAATTAGTTTAACACCAGAGAGACCATAAGCAACATCTTAAGGCTTCAAAATTATTCAGTCAGACTGTCTGCAAGAAAGAATACAGTAATGTACACATACCAGTTGCGATCAGTTCCACATATGAATCGCCCATGTCCGCAAATAACCTAGCAATTGCCTTCACATCTTCCTCATCCTAAAGGGAGATTAAAGGATCATAACCTATGTAGGCCTTTGAATAAAAAGCATAGCATGCAAATATAAATATACCAGTTGTAAGGGTAGAATTGCCCCGACCTATAAGGGTAGAATTATAGTTGAGCAGAACTCAACCTTACAAAACCGGCTTGTAAGGGTAGAATTGCCCCGACCTATAAACTTATGTTCGGGGCTATATCACATCTAATAATGTGAGACTCTAAGCACACCCTTCACATCCCACACCCAAGAATGGACATTTGGAAAGTTATCAGAGTGGTCTAATTGCAGAAGACCTAACGAATCTTGGATAGGCTCTAACCCCATATTAAAATTAGAGTTGGGTTTGGTCCAATTCAACTTTACAAAATGGGGCTTTATGAAAAAATTTAGCTTGGAGTACGTTGTAAATAATTTACTTTTTTATTTTTACTATTGATAGTAGTAAATGTGAGTGTTTTTAATATGACTTATGAAAAACTTTAGCTTGTTGTATGTTGAAATAAAATATATCTTTGTAGGATACTCTTCAACACAAAATGGTTACAAATGTTATCATCCACCATCTCACACTTACTTACCTTTCTTTTAGACCAGAAGGTGAGACTGAAATTAGTGGTGACAATGTTTAGATTGAACTTGATTCTTAAAAAAATGGAAATGTTGAAATTAATGCAAGACTTGGAAAGAATTCAGTATATATAAGAAAAAAGATCATTCTTCATATTCAAGAGACTAATCTGACATTACATGAGGTAACTTTCCTCGACCCTCCAAGCAATAGGGATTCAATGTTTGAAATTTCTAATGAACAGGAAATAGAATCCAATTCAATATTACCACCACACTACAAAGATATACATCTTCCAATTCCAACAAGAGAAACCAAAATATGTACCGAAAGGTCACTTTACCCTCTATCCAACTACCTAAGTTTTGAACATTTTTCACTGACCCATAAAGTCTTCCTTACAAGTCTAAACACTATAACAATACCTAACTCCAAGTCTAAACACTATAACAATACCTAACTCTTTATCTGAGGCATTGTCTGATAGAAAAGGAAAACAAGACATGGCCTTGGAGATGGAGGCACGGAAGAAAACTGGTACTTGAAAATTGGTTTCTCTACCAAATGAAAAGAAATCTGTAGGGTGCAGATGGATATACATTGTAAAATAAAGGTTGATGGATCTATTGAGAGGTACAAGGCAAGATTGGTTGTCAAAGGATTCACCCAAACTTATGAAGTAGTTTACTCAAAAACATTTGCTCCAATTGTTATTCATTTTGAAAGGTACAAGGCAAGATTGGTTGTCAAAGGATTCACCCAAACTTATGAAGTAGTTTACTCAAAAACATTTGCTCCAATTGCTATACTTGGTTTGGACGCAATCAAAGACTTCTGAGATGGAGGTGTTGCAAGTGACTCTAAAGCCCAAATAGTTTTCAAATTCATTTTCTTCTCAGGCTTCTCAGACACAAGGATCACATCTTTGCTCGCCACACTCGTCTCCTTCTTCTCCATTGCTTCTACCTTTTACGACTTTGCATTTGTTTGAAACTCTATTCCGCAGTGCTCTTTCATAAGATTTTTCATCGAAAACACATTCCAATTAGAACTAAGATTCTCTGTGGAAATATGGCTTCGCCATCTCTATCCTCAGCAATTAATGAAACTCCAACTTAAAGAATTTGACAAATTATTCCAATCTTGCCATTCTCAATTCAATTGCATCAATTCTCTCAACCATTCCTTCTTCCAACACTTCTTCTTCAGCAATCATCTGAATGACAGGGATGTTGGCACCTTCTCGATAGTCTGGTAGGTCAAACCAAATGATAGGATCCAGAATTATGATAAATGAAAGATGTAATATTGATTGAATTAAGAACTATTACTATTGCATAGAGTGGTTCCTATAATCCCACAGTAAGTGCTCCTCAGAGGAGAGATAATTCTCTCTCTGCCAAACCCATTAGGTTCCTAACATAAATCATATTCCCCCCTTCTCGCTAACTAACCATGTCCTTATATAACTAACTCCCTTCCCCCCTCTAAAGGATTGGTCCATAACTAGAATTAACCAATTCACTATTATTAGACTATATTATTGGACTAAAGACCAAACCACAACCGATTGATTTTATCTTTAGCACCTAATTACAATTGGAATTTACATCAATTTGATGGAAAATAAAAAAGAAAAAACATTATATGGACTAAAGTAATCACCACGAGTATGGTTGGGAAGACTCACCAAAGTTATAGAAGATTTGGGCTTCAAACAAAGTCAAGGAAATCATACTCTATTAATCTAACATTTTGAAACCAGGAGAGTAACAGTGTTATTTGTGTATGTGGTTGACAATACAATAACATGTGATGATGAGAAGGAGCAGCTATTGTTTGGTGAACACTAAGCCAAGGAGAGCTATTGTTTGGTGAACACTAAGCCAAGGAGAGAGCTATTGTTTGGTGAACACTAAGCCAAGGAGTTTGAGATTAAAACCTTGAGATAATTGAAGAGCTTTATGGGAATTGAAGTTACCCACTCCTAAGAAAGGAATCTTCAAGTCTCAATAGAAATAAATTACTAATCTTCTACAAGAGACGGGTAACACGGCACGCAAGCGTGCAAGTACACCAATTGATCCAAGTGTAAAATTGGGAAACGCATATGAAAATATTTCGGTTGACAAGGAAGTGTATCAAAGATTAGTCGAAAAACTCGTATACCTATCACATAATAGATCTGATGTTGCTTTTGTCATAAGCTTAATCGGTCTCATGCACCAATCAAAGATTCATTTACAAGTTGGGCTCCAAATTGTGCAATACCTAAAAGGAAATCCAATTAGAGGATTTTTGTTTGAACGAAATGGAAGTGTGGGTCTTGAAGCATTCACTATTGTTGGCTATGTAGGATTGATTGTGGATAGAAGATCAACTACAGGATATTGTACTTTTCTGAGTGGAAATCTTATGACTTGGAAGAATAAAAACGAAGTGTTGTATTCAGATCTAGTGTTAAAGCAAAGTTCAGAGCAATGGCACAAGGGATATGCAGTGGCTGAAAATGATCTTAGACTTTAAGATAAAGAGTGATGAACCAATGAGACTTTATTGTGATAAATAAATCTACTATTAGCATAGCCCATAGTTCAGTGCAGCATGATAGAACCACACATGTTGAAGTTGACATCGTCAAAGAAAACATAGATAGTAGTCTTATTTGCACTCCATATATTTCTTCTCAAAACAACATAGCATGTCTTCTACTAAAAGGCTTAACAACAATAAGTGAAAAAATTTCCAAGCTTGGATTGGAGTGATAGATATTCATTCACCAGGTTGAAAGGAAGAGTAGTAAATAATTTACTTTTACTTTAGCTAATTTAACTATTGACAGTAGTAATTTATATTCGAACTTTTAGACCATTAGTTAGGCTCGATAGATTAGTATAGTCTACATAAAGAGATTAATGTTTGTACATTGAAATATATTATTCAGTTTTCACGGAGTAATTATTTGTTTTTGAAACTTTGTATATAGTATAATACTATAAATTATGTGCATTTCATGTATTTTCTTGATTCAGCATTTATGGGGTCTTCCACTCTGCATTGCTCTTAGGATTGCCAAATACGAGAGAACGGCCAAACATTTGATGAGGCTTTCTATTGGCTGTCGACGAAATTATCCAAGACTTGACATTCATGCTCTAGATATTAAGTATTCATATTGTGGCCAAAAGTTATAGCTACTACACTAATAAATCAAACCAACACCATCAAAAGGGAAACCTAGTGCTATAAATCAAATCACCGCAATCACAAAAATCGTATAACAAATTCCATGCTATGAAATAAATGCCAACAGAGTGAATTAAATCAGCGCTATCATAAAGAAAAATTGCTATAGTTTTGGAATAGACAGCCCCTCAAGCCTCAGAATTTAGATTGGGAAGTCTGCTTACCTTCGTAGAATCACTAAGTTGTGATTTAAGACTCATAACATGAGGAACAATGACTTGAATTAAGGGTACATTTGTGGAAACACCATCAATGCTCCCTGATGCAGTGTAGTGTATCAACTCAGAAATCACTGCAAAGAGGGTGCAAAAGACAAAAGGAATACCACATTGTCAAATTAAGTACACGGGAAAAGCAACACCATGATTAAATCCAAAAGTGATTTAAAAATATCAACAGTCTAACATTGACAAATACTGACACTAAAAGCAGTAATTCTCAATTAAATTAAAAATATCAACATACTCGCAAACAAGTAAAAGAAACACAAAGTGGAACATGTGTAAATAATATGTGCTAATATGTTGATTTACCTAGGCCTCATGCTTCATATGTTCATTAACCTGAATAATATGTGCTAACGAAAAATCATGGTTCAAACCCAATGAAACATCCAAAACTAACAGGGTTTTAGGATCCACAACTCCAATGATTGATCAACCCTTAAAGTTTAAGAAAATGCCTAGATTTTTTATCTAATGAAGCCTCTACTTATATTTCACGCTCGAATTACCAGCTGACTAGCAGTCTTCTCATTCTATAACACCAAATTGCTTTCTTTTCAAGTTGTCTTCACAAATGCTCGCATTATTTCTGAAGCGATGAAAGATTAAGAGTGGAATGAAACAACACTGCTCAAAGGTGGGTAAGATATCATAATCCTCCTAAGAGTAGTGATAGCAACACTCACTCTAACACCCTCTTAGCAACACCTTTCTTATTGGGTGAAATTCATGAAGGTCTCACTATTTTGGAATGGGCCAAATAAAGTGGTTGGACCTACACGGATTTCACTCAATAAGAAAGTTGGAAAGAGAGCATTAAAGGGAGTATTGCCAGCACCTCTCATCCCTCCTAACCGTTAAAAAAGCTGATAAATGCCATAAAAAAACAGAAAATATAAAACTGAGACAATATTAATTTTTAAAAAATACTACTGCAAACCGAAACCTTCATTGAGTTTTGCTGGCTTCAGTGTTAATAACACTTTAATTGATAGGAGTGGGTTAATAAATTACTAAGACTTCCACTCTCAGCAAAATGATGGAAATGTGAATAATAGACAAAATATTTTAAGCCAGTGCTAGTACAATACAACTATACACTGGTACAAGCATTGCCCTATAAGATTAATAAGGTTGCATTTGCCATATCACACATGGAAGATCTAATAGTGCGCGTGAACACTATCAAGCCTTAAAAGGTGTTTCATACACCTACCAAAAACTAAAATTCAATGGAGCCCAGCTTTTTATCCCATTATAATTTATATCTTGAGGTAATATCCAGTTCAATTCCAATAGCATATATTTGAAAGAAGAAAATGAAAATTTTCCCAGCTTTCGTACCATTTACAGATGCCTCTGAAAGTAGCTCAGAATTCAAGCTCGACAGTGCTGTAAGAACTAATGGATGAGAACTGAGAACAGATCCGGGAATCCTGAAAAGAAAAAAAAAAATCATTAAAACATAAGTTAGAACAAAATGCATTATTCCTCTTCTTTTCCCTTTAAGAAGATTGAGATAATAGAAACCCTCAATATCAATTTCATAAGAAACAATACTTAACTTGATAATTCATCTAAATGTCATTAAATTGTGATAAAAATATACATAATACCAATGCCTCTTCATTTAGTTATACAGATATCACACTGAGATCAATCACCCGGCATTTTTAGATATGTCGCCTACTCTTTTTTCCACTTCTAGTTAACAAAATTTCTACATATATAAAACTCAGAAAAACTCAATATTTTAACAATCTTTATGTGAAAACCACCAATAAATGTTCACGGCAAAAATCTAATAATGAGAGAATCCCGGGCTAAGATATATCTACTAATTGTTCATACAAATAAAAATATAAATAATATATATATATATATATATATATATATATATATATATATATATATATATATATATATATATATATATATATATATATATATATATGAAGCTTCAGTCTGTGACACCGGTACAGATGAGGCATTAATAAAATGTTTCTCTCAAACATTACACAATTACAGATGCCCGACCACGTATTAAAAATAACATGAAGAATAATCTAGTAATCTATCACCATTATTAGTAATGCACAGTTCTGTAAACAAAATTTAGTTGCATGCAAAGAACAAAGAAAATATGTACCCATGCTTTAGGCGAAGCCATGAAGCAAATGCCTCAAGAACCTGAAACAAAAAGTTAACATTAAAGCACCACCATAAGACCATAAAAACAGACTAACATTCAAAATAATTAACAATGACAACATAATGGACAGTAAATAGAAAAGCATTTGACTGGTCACCTGCTCCTTTAGCTCAGAAATACTCAAACAAGCTGTCAGTATATTAAGAGCAATCTCCATTTGAGAAGTAAGCTCTTTCTCAAATTGACGGCGCCTTTCAGGACGAGCTGCTATCTTATAGTTTAACACTTCCTGCTTATAACAACAAAATAAGTATAAGACATAATATGTAACGACAAAACACAATCAAACAAATGGCTGATAAACTTACTTCAATTAAAATATTTTGTTTGCAACCATTAATAGAAGGATATATGAATTTTATGATGTTAGGGGCTACATAAAACACTATCTGACAATACAGACATTTGTGTCATTAATAAAGATCAAAAGACTGTCCAAGTTCCTGAAACGTCGGCGTACATACCTCTGGTAAAACTGTAAGTAACTCCAAGAATCCTGGTATATATTCTGGATTGGAATCCATCTCATCCCTGAGCCATTTCACTATTCCACCATCTCCCCAGTCTTCCGCAGGCACGTGCACGGCCAATGCGGCCACTGCAATGCTAATCTACAAGTATGGACAATTTGAGCCATGCATGTCAGTAAATTAAACTTAGATAACTACCCAAAACAAACTGTAAAGAAGACAGGTCACAAGGAGCTTCTTTATGATACCTGAGTTCTGACTTTTGGATGACCCTTGTGGAACTTTTTTAGTAAGTTCTGCATTTAAAACAAACATGAACTGATGAAAGTAAAGCCTATTTACAAACATATGAAGTATTGTATTTTTTAACATTTGAATATGCATGGTCACTACTAGTCCATGACCTTAAAAAAATTTATTCTGAGGAGGAAAAGAAATGCATGTCCCAGAATTAAATGAATAAACACTCAGAATAGTCACTCACGTTTAATGAGTCACGCAGCGGCCGGAACGCAGTGGAAGGGAGCTCCTCAAAGTCTCGTTGAACCTAGGTCATAATCAGGCACTCAATAATTAAGAAAGCACTTCTGGCAAGAGATTTCAGTCAGAAACCAGCATGCATGTAACATTCTTAAACATGCATAAGCACTGACTACATTAATATGAAGTATAAAAACAACAAATCACCTTGCTTCTCAAGGTCTGAGAACAAAATATCAAAGTCTCTAGATTGCTACTCGGATCATGAAGTAAATTATCAGCCACCTGCAGTGATTAAAAACAAAAACAAAATAATTAACATTTTTACAGAAGAACGCACGTTCATATATATCTGCACGTTCATATATCTGCATGTTCATATATATGTGTCTCCGCACTGAATTACTGAGTTCACAATTCTTGACAATTTAAAAAGCCTGAAGAATCCTTGAAATTCAAAAATCACAGAAATAGAAACGCTCCTTAAAACATCAATAAATGGAGCAACATGCAGCTAAGTTCACAGTTCGAACATCAACAACAATAATCAAAATCAGATAAACAGAAAAAGAACTTAAAAAAATCATCATTCAGTGAAAAAAATCAAAATTCGTTGAAAAGAGAAATCGGGAAGAGAGAGAAACAAATCGAGAAAGCGGAGAAAGGATTGAAGAGAGAACCTGCCACGCATCCAAAGTTCGCTGAAAATCCTGGAGATAGCGATCGGCTTGCATGCGAACGGTATCATCGGGGTGATGGTAGAGTGCATTTAGGGCTTCCTTCACAGTATTCTGAAGGTCCATGCTGAAATCGAATCGAATCGATTCGATGCAGATTCACGAAAACGAGGCTCAATCTAAGAGTGAGTTTTGGATTTTTGTGTTTAGATTAACACTGTTGCGTTTGAAATAAGTGTCAGGTTTGTTGATAAAAGCGAAGAAAGGGGTTTTTGGCGCCCGGTGAGGAATGGGTTGGAGGGGTTTGATAAAGCGATGTTGATGAGAGAGAGAGAAGGAGAGAGATAGAGAGAGAAAAAGAAGGAGAAAGATTCGCAGCCGTCGGATTGATTGACGCTGTGTCAAGGTGGATTGCACTTTTTAGCGAAACACCAACTTGTATAGAGACGGTGAAGTGAAAGCAATGCAATGCGTTTCATCTGGGACACGTGGCTTTTAGTTTTTATTTAACAGGTTGGAGAAGTGGACCCCACTTTCAGACCGTCAATATGCACTTGTTTTTTTTCTTCCTTTGGTTCTTCCTTTATTTTTTCTTGTTTCAATTTTAAGAAGAATTATGTAGATTTTAGAAGAAAAGATGGTTAAGAAGAAGATCCGTGCGTACTTATTTAAGAAATGTGACATGAGAATGTCATATCATTGAAGAAAGATAAGAGCAATTTATTTTTTCTTCCAATTCTATAAGAGATTGTCTATGTTTGAGGATTCCCTATTAAAATTCTTGAAAGACGGTCTATTTTAAAATAGTATAGAAGGAACGGTATGGTTGTTCAAATGTCAGCACAATTGTACTGACATTCAACTAGGCTGAAACTCAAGTAAAAGTTGATCAATGTCAGAGCATTCTTATGAGTGTGATGACATAAGGATTCTCTAGTTGGAGAGGAGTCTTATAACATTTGGTAACTGAAGAATACAGAATTGGGATTTAAAATCAATTGATATTTATAGCATTAGCAAGTATTTAATTGATTATCTTTTTTCTTGGTGTTCAAGAAAGATAATGTCAAAATGTCACACCAGATGGTGCAGTGTCAGATAGTTGCAAGAACTCAAGAACCTATTATATGTATCTGATTTGTCTTGAAGAATGGATATAAATATAATCGGTATCATTTGTGAAGTTCTCAAAAGGTCATTGTCTTGTCTTTAAATGTAATTAAAGTGTGTAATTCTAGTAATGGCTTTAAAATAAATTTCAAAGATCTGTTCATTGGAAAAGGAACTGATGTTCAACCAGATGTTGAAACATCTTTTCAGAATAGTGTGTGCAGAATCTTGTTGATCCAGTGAGTGAACTTCTTGGACAAAGGAGTGATGCAGTGAAATTTTGGTATCAGATATGAGATGTCGAAAGAGATGTCACGACACTAATATCTGAACAATTACCAATGTATGAATAAGATAAAATGCAGTTAACAATTGTAAAGAGACACAAGCAATTGTTAACCCAGTTCGGTGCAAACACACCTACGTCTAGGGGCTACCAAGTCAGGAAGGAAATCCACTAAACATAATTAGTTTGAAGACTCTCAGCAAACTCTCTCTAGTTTACAATCTTTGCACATAATCTCTACCCGTGTAACTTCTATCTAAGACACTCTCAGATATGAGACAGCTCTCACTCCCCCTCAATCACATGTAGTGATAAAAACAGAAGATCAAAAAGTAGAAGACACACTTCAAGGACAACACTTGATCTTGCTTAAAAGCTTCAATCAAGAACAATGTACTCGTGCTTAAAAACTTATAGTGGACAACTTACAACTCAAAGAACTCAGTCCAATTCACACATCAAAGTGATGAATGAATGACTCACAAGAAAACAACTAACAAAAGACTCAAACCATAACAAAAGACATAACGCAGCTTTCTCAAAATCTTCTCTCTGCCTTGCAAGTAAGGTTAACACGTCTTTAAATAGAAACCATTCTTCATGGGCTTGGGCAGAAGTAATCCATAATTAAAGTTATTATTCTCCATATCGTTTTACACAAAAATAGCAATAAACCATTATTCAAAAGGAAACAGAATATACTTGTTTCAAATAATGTCACGCCTTGATTTGCACAAGCAATCACTTAACAAAGGCACACAAAAGATTGCAGAAAAAACGCAACTGACAAAACATAACATTTTGACTGAATGTTCTGTAAACATATGTCAGGACATCATACTTGACACCATGAACTAAACTCTGCAACAACAAAAAGAACCACCTGAAGACTGTTAAAATCAGATGTCAAGACATCATATAGGACATCTTGTGATAACACCAATTTTACCAAAATGTTGCCAATCACATAACTAACAAACTCCCTCTTTGGAAAATTTTGGCTAAAACAACCAATTTATCACCAGAGCTACCAAAATACAACAAAGAGCACAATAGCAGCAGAAAAACACATAAAAGCCTAACATGTCACAAAGAAAAATAAAGCTCCCCCTCAAACCAAATTTCCAGAGAAACATACCATAATACTAGAAAAAAATACTCCCCCTCAACCCAAAAACAGCAGTAACATCACAACATCTCTCGTACTACTTCTCCCCCATTTAGCCATAATTAAAGAAATCTCACTAAAAGAAAACCATTATCATAGAACAAGCAGAGAATAAGCATACAGAGCCAACAGTGTCAAGAATGCAGAATGAAACCACAAAAAATTACAAGCCAAAGCACATTAAGTGCTAAAAGAAAAACCAGAGCTATCACCTTCATCACCAGCAGTAGACCCAAAATCATGACCCTCAATATCACCAGTCCTCTCATCAGAGGTAGAATCCTCCCCAGCTTCCTCTTCATCTACATCAGCAACCTCAACACCATCACCTTCAACCTGCTCCAGACTTCTAATCAAGGCTTCCAATTTCAGCTTTCTTGCAGTAGTTACACGGATGACTTCTCCCAAATCTCTGCAAGTTTCCTTCAACTCTGAGATAAGCCTAGTCTTTGTAGAAGGTGTTTTCTCAACAGATGTCAAAACAATGTCTGGGACATGTCTTCCTGCAAACAATTTATAATGAAGAGTCAACACATAATCCTTTTTGCAAACCACATCATTACTAGAGAGAATACCAGGATATGGGCTTAGAATGGTCCTACAAATCAGTTAAGGAAATGCAATGGGCAATTTGACAGGATTGGTAGTAGCATGCTTCACAATCTGATAAAAAATGTAGCTACCATAGTCAAACTTCACCTTTGTACCAACAACAAATATGAACCTTCCTAACCAACAGCAATGGTGGAAGTATGATTGGTAAGCACCTAGTTTGCTGCTCCAATCCTATGCAGGATAACATATCTAACACTCAGTTGACCAACAAACAGTTTTCCTTTCAAGAGCTATACAGTTACTTGGTTTGCAGTGATCACCTGGCACACTTGATTATCAGTCACCTCAAGTTCACTTGCTTCTTGCTCACCCCTTCCTAGATACCTGTTAATAACAGCAGCATAAAACTCAATACCTCTCCCCCTTACTAACACCTTACTAAACTCTTTACTTCTTCTGTCAGCAATGTCCTCAGGGATGTTCACAATGAACTCCTCAACTAGCATATATAACACTTAGAAAAACCAGCCATAATCTTCATCAACCCTGTATCAGAAATTAACTCCATGACATCCTTTATCTCAAAAGCATCCTTGCCTAACTCTTTCTCAAGAGCAACTCTTTTTTGTTACACATACTTCCACTTTGGCACATTATCAATAGAGTGGAAAGAAATATTATATAAAGGAGCATCAGGCATTGTGTCAGTTGGTATGATAAGTGAGGTTAGGGTAGCGTGTGAAAATATATTTTAAGGTATTTTGAGATGATTGCATTAGTTGGAGACACTTTATTTTTGGAAAAATACAAAACCTCTTGAATGATATTTCCACTCAGCAATAATTGCTACAAATCCTCATAAATGCAAATCCCTAATTTGCCTCTTAAAATTTCAAATTGACTAGCATTCAATACCTTAGTGAAGATGTCAGCTAGTTGCTTCTCTGTAGCAATATGTTCTAAGGCAATGATCTCATCTTCAACAAGCTCCCTTATAAAGTGATGGCGAATATCAATATGTTTGGTCCTACTGTGTTGAATAGGATTTTTGGAGATGTTTATAGCACTTAAATTGTCATAATATAATGTAATGACATCTTGTGTGACATTATATTCAGTCAGCATTTGTTTCATCCACACCAGTTGAGAACAACCACTTCTAGTTGTTATATACTCAGCTTCAGCAATAGACAGAGAGACACAATTTTGCTTCTTGTTGAACCATGATATAAGACTATTCCCCAAAAAGAAGCAATCTTTTGATGTGATTTTCCTATCATCAGCACTTCCAACCTGTTGTACCCCAAAATTTGACCAACCATTTTCCTTGTTTGGCTTATGTTTCGTTTCATTTGCATTTGCATATCATTTATCGCATACTGTGCATTTTGTCAGTTAGAGTGATTTATCGGGATTACAGCCCCTTTTCTCGCGTTTCAGGCGATTCAAACCAGTGCGAATAAGGAGATTTTATTTCAGAACCGAGTGGAGTTTGTCCTCATTTTATTGGTCCAGTCTGTGCTGGTATTTTCGGTTGTGTTCCGGTGTTCGCCCGATCTTCCCTTCGTTGTTCAAATGCTTTGTTTGATTTTATTCTTATTTTCTGTTTTAATGCCTTTATAATATAGTTTTTACTTTTGCTATAAATAGATTATTAGAAAATAGTTTTATTTTTATTAATATCTAGATTAGTTAGAATATAATAACTTTTATATTAGAATATAGTTTTAGCTAAAACTTTTTAGTTTCATAGAACATAGATTTTTTTTTGATTAATTTAGAATTAGATTTGTTTAGATTTAATTTAGTAGTTTTTAGAATTATTTTCTTTTTACTTTAATTAGTTATTTATTTATTTATTTATTTATTAGAATATTGGGTTTAGAGCTAATTGTCACACCCTAATTTTTGACCTTAAGATCCCCCCTCCTTGTGCTTTTTCTAGCTTGTTTTCTTTTACTTTTGCGTACGGTTAACCAGTTTGTGCAGGCGCAGTAATGTCAAGGT